CTAATTCTTTCTTTCTTTGTTTCTTTCAGAAAGAGAGAGAGAAAGATATATATATATAATTTTTTTCCTTTTCTCTTTTCGCTATTTTCTCCCATTCTGCAATTAAGGATAAAATTGTCTTTCGTTTTACCCCTATTCATCTTCCACGTTCTATCTAGAATATCAGCTTTCTTTTGTTACTTTTTTTTTTTTTCCTCTGTCTTCTTTCTCTTCTGAACGACTTCTGCGTTCTTTGTTTCGTATGTCTATGTTTTCTTTCTTTCTCAACGACTTCTTTTCGTTCGTCATTTCCTTCGTCATATCGTACCTTTCACTAAGGAAGCAATTTCCTTTCTCCATTCTCTAATGGAGATAGTTCATGTTGACGCGCCAAAATTACTTAGAATCACGCAGAAATTCATACGAACTAGATTTGGAACTGTCTTTTGTTCGAACACGCAAGCCTCCAATAACGCACTTTGGATTCACTTGTGATTCTCACTGGCAACCACCGACTGCTTCGCGATTGAATCACTTGCTTTTTATTGACGTCGAAAGCACGAGAACTTGATACGCCAACGTTTGACAGGACTTTACCTGAAAAAATTCACTATACATTTCTCTCTAAGGATCATTGACCTGCTTATTCCAGTTTGAGACTAAGTGATCGGCCAGCTATTGTAGTCTACCAACAGGTGTGTCTACTTATATTTATATTTTGGTCAGCCTACGAAATTTTCGGCCGAAATTCTCATGAATCTAAATAAATAGCAAAACATGTTCAATTTACAAAGATTTCTCCTATCTTTTCCTTATTTAACCATTTTGTCAGATTTACTCCCTATTTTCAATTTTACATATATATATATATATATATATATATATATATATATATATATATATATATGTGTGTGTGTGTGTGTTTGGAGATGACATATAAACCTTATATATACGTAGCTGAATGACGAAATGGAAGAACTCTATATAACGCATTTCGTCTTTCAAAAAGACTTCATCAGAGTATAAAATAATTCCGCTGTAAATTTACATCCGTTCATGTGACATTAAACCTTTGTTTACCAATCTACATCTATGGCAATGAGGGATATTTAAAAGCAACAGCGATCAAGACAAAAACAAACACTTCTGGGAAGTTGAGTGAAGTCGGTTAAGCTGTATGTCTAGATCCATCAGCCTAAAATTTTAAATTTAAATCGAAGTGTTAAGTGTCTCTGCAGCTTCAGCGTTTCCATCAATCTATAATAATAACGATGTAATGCATAGCGCCCGCCCATTTTAGAAATGTCTGAACTATCACGAGAGCTTAGATATTTCGACATGTGTTGAGCGCCATGCATTACGTCCATATCTTGATCTGACGAGGCTTTCAAACCATGACTTCAGTTTTCAAATCATTATTTTTCTTTTCTAGCATCTAATCTAATCCCTTCAGACACTGTATCCTGTGTTTAACTAGATTACCTCCGATGATACATTTGTTATAACTGATGCGTACAACGAAATTAACTGGAGGTTTTTAGAAATTATTAATTACACATTCTGGTTTTTTATGATCGCTTTATGATATGTAAATATATCTTAATAATGTTCTCCTTATGATATGTAAATATATCTTAATAATGTTTTCTTTAGGATATGTAAATATACCTTAATAACGTTTTCTTTATCGTATGTGAATATACCTTAATGATGTTTTCTTTATCATATGTGAATATCCCTTAATATTTTATTTATATGTAAATATACCTTAATAATGTTTTCTTTATGATATGTGAATATACCTTAATAATGTTTTCTTTATGATATATAAATATACGTTAATAATGTTTGCTTTATGATATGTAAATATACCTTAATAATGTTTTCTTTAGGATATGTAAATATATCTTAATAATGTTTTCTTTATCGTATATGAATATACCTTAATGATGTTTTCGTTATCATATGTGAATATCCCTTAATAATGTTTTCTTTAGGATAGGTGAATATACCTTAATAATGTTTTCTTTAGGATATGTAAATATATCTTAATAATGTTTTCTTTATCGTATGTGAATATACCTTAATGATGTTTTCTTTATCATATGTGAATATCCCTTAATGTTTTCTTTATATGTAAATATACCTTAATAATGTTTTCTTTATGATATGTGAATATACCTTAATAATGTTTTCTTTATGATATATAAATATACCTTAATAATATTTGCTTTATGATATGTAAATATACCTTAATAATGTTTTCTTTAGGATATGTAAATATACCTTAATAATGTTTTCTTTATATGTAAATATACCTTAATAATGTTTTCTTTATCATATGTGAATATCCCTTAATAATGTTTTCTTTATATGTAAATATACCTTAATAATGTTTTCTTTATCATATGTAAATATACCTTAATATTTTTTGTTTCGCTCATATACTCTCACACTCGGTGACCCCTTACTTCTTAATGTCTTAATTGCTTTACTTGGAGTGGAATGATTAAATTAATAATGATTAATAATGATTTAAATTAATAATGTGCTATCATACTTTCATTCGAATTCTAGATCATAATTTCTGGTTAGGAAATGTTTATCACAAACACTGCATCTTGAAACACTAGGTGATTTTTTTCCGTTAAAGATCATTCTTATTACAACTATAAATACTGCTACAGCGGTTTTTGTATGATCAACGAAGTAAAGCAACGTCGATCCTGGACAGTAGCTAGTTGGGTGACTGTTGGGGAGTATCAGGTGCTATATACTTGGATGTTCGGATCGTGTAATGGATAACGAATCAGAATAGATAATCTCAGATCCAATTCAGGTTTGCTATATTCACTTATGCGCCATTACCCTTGGGAAATGTTTAAAACCACCTATTCTTCTTGCCAATTATAGGTTAATTAATAGCACTTGTACCCGTAAATCATTATTATCTCCCCAAAATTCTTACAATCTAAAATTAGTTTTTGGCTTTAAATGACCTGAAAATGTTTGATAAGCAGTAAATAAAAACATTTCTTCTTTTTATGACTACTTATAAATATCGACTCCCATAGACCCTTGCTATTAGTATATTTGCCTCAGAAAGGAAAAGAGGACGGCTGTTTCTATTAGAATATTCATTTGGGATATGGAATGTTTAAATGAGCAAGGACCAGTTCTTCAAATCTGGGCTTGTATATTTGCAGAGCAACATCTAGAAAGACATTAAATAGCTTGGATCTCTTATTTGTTCCTTGTTTTACTCTTGATGACGTTTGAAAAATATGCTCCCTAATGGTCGAATGAACCAACTTACTAGCAGTACCAATTAAGTTCTACGTTTGGAACACGTAATACGGCTGTGTTTATTGCTGTTTAACAGTTTATCTTTTATGAAATATTTTTTACATTTCCTTTTTTAGTACATATGTTAAGGAAGGATGGCTTGGGAAATTCACTCACAGGACATCGAAGACAAAAGTGACAAAGAACCGCTAGTGTGGCTCAAGGCACGTATGTTTTATTTATTTAACATCTTTAATTCTA